TAGTAGAGACGGGGTTTCACCATGTTGACCAGGATGGTCTCGATCTCTTGACCTTGTGATCCACCCGCCTCAGCCTCCCAAAGTGCTGGGATTACAGGCGTGAGCCACCGCGCTGGCCAATTGTGATTATTTCTAAATATATTTGGTATCATTGCTAAAACTAAGTAATCAGTTATTTCTTATACTGGGACAGATTATGCCTTCAGTCTCTTGCCTTGGCACCTGGGCAACTTTCTTTCCACATGTTTGCAGATGACATGATTCTGTATTTAGAAAACCCTGTAGTCTTGGCCCCAAAGCTCCTTCAGCTGATAAACAACTTCAGCAAAGTTTCAGGATACAAAAATCAGTGTTCAAAAATCACTAGCTTTCCTATACATCAACAACAGCCTAGCCAAGACTCAAATCAGAAAGGCAATCCCATTCCCAACTGCCACAAAAAGAATAAAATGCCTGGGAATACAGCTAACCAGGGAGACGAAAGATCTCCGCAGTGAAAACTCCAAAACACTGCTCAAAGAAATCAGAGAAGACACCAATGGGAAAAAGAGCCCATGCTCACAAATAAGAAGATTCAATATCATTAAAATGAACACTCTCCCCAAAGCAATTTATTTACAGACTGAATGCTATTCTTATCAAACTACCAATGACATTCTTCAGAGAACTACAAAAAACTATTTTAAATTTCAAATGGAACCAAAAAAGAGCCCAAATATCCAAGAAATTCTAAGCAAAAACAAAACAAAACAAAAACAAGAACAAAGCTGGAAGCATCATGCTGCTGGACTTCAAACTATATTACAGAGCTATAGTAATCAGAAAAACATAGCACTGGTACAAAACCAGACACATAAACCAATGGAACAGAAGAGAGATCCCAGAAACAAGGCTGCACACCTATGATCATCTGATCTTTGACAAAGCTGACAAAAAAAAAAGCAATGGGGAAAAGACTCCGTGTTCAATAATTGGTGCTGGGATAACTGGGTAGCAGCCATATGCAGCAGATTGAAGCTGCACCCTTTGCTTATACCATATACAAAAATCCACTCAAGATGGATTAAAGACTTAAATGTAAAACTCAAAACTATAAAAACCCAGAAGACAACCTGGCCAATACCATCCTGGATGTAGGCACAGGCAAAGATTTCATGACAAGACACCAAAAAGCAATTTTGACAAAAATAAAAATTGATAAATGAGATCTAATTAAACTAAAGAGCTTCTGGCAGGGCACGGTGGCTCAAGCCTGTAATCCCAGCACTTGGGGAGGCCGAGGCAGGTGGATCACAAGGTCAGGAGATCGAGACTATCCTGGCTAACATGGTGAAACCCTGTCTCTACTAAAAATACAAAAAATTAGCTGGGCGTGGTGGCACGCGCCTGTAGTCCCAGCTACTCAGGAGGCTGAGGCAGGAGAATTGCCTGAACCCAGGGACAGAGGTTGTAATG